TCATATTTTTCTGTTTGGTCATTTTTTCCTTCCTCTGGTCTACTCCCTTGATTTGAGTCCCAGTTTCCTTTCCATTACTATTGGTTTCCTGTGCATTAGCATTCATAATTAGTTTAGCCTTCATATGTTCCTCTAATTTGTGACGAAAATCAACCAGTTCTGTGAGCACCCTGATCATCAGTGTTTTGAACTGTGTATCTGATAGTTTGGCTATTTCTTCATCACTTAGATTTATTGGCTCTGGGGCTCTGAGTTCTTCTTGAGCCATGTTTTGATCTGTCTGTGCCTGCTACATATGAGGAGAGGCGCCCTAGGCATTCACCAGGGTGGGGCCACCCAGGTCACTGGTTTGTGACGCTGTATGTGGGGGCGGCGTCAGAGAGGGAGCAATGGCGGTCCTCTCCGCTTGCCCAGTCTACCTCATCGCTCGCCCCCTGCCTGTTTATCTGAGCGCAAATGTGTGAGCCCGCCTCCCTGCGCCGGGTGGTCTCAATGATCACCTCTTCACTGGTTTATCTGCACTGAAATGCTCAACTGCAGCCAGCCAGCCATGCCTCTTCCCTGTGTCTGCCCGTAGCTAGCCCACACCTGGGATCCGAGCCCTCGGCTGCCTCTGCACCTCCTGGGTCGGGGGATCTTCCCTGCTCGACCAGCTCCGCTGCTGGCTTCGCCCCTCTCACCGGTTTGGCTGAGCATTTTGTTGTTTTCGGACTCCGTATCGTCGATTTTCTGTGTGGTTTGGTTGCATTTATTATTATTATTAAAACTTTGTTGTTTTTAGGTTTGGTTGTGCGAGGACACAAAGTGTTTCCACCTACACCTCCATCTTGGCAGAAGTCCCCTACTGCTCATGTTATACCACTTAACTTTTTGTTGTGTCTGCATACTCAAGACTGCTGTCTATTCCTGGCTTCTGTTGTATCATAACTTCTAGTTACATTATTTTCTCTGTGTGCATTTCAGCTTCTGACCCTGCTATCAACTATTTTACTGTTCAGGTCTCAAATTCAATCTTTGCAAGAGAAAATTTGATTGACCTGGTTAATTTTTTTTACTTGGTTAATTATTATCATTTCCATTGAACAACTCTGTTAGACAGTTGGATATACTATAAATAGACTAATCAATTAGATGTGTCAAAGGTGAGAGAGTCCTAAGGTATAAAACAAGGTGACCTCAGAGTTGTGGGAATTGAAGGTAGTGCTCCAATACTGGAACTATCAAGTAAACAACTTGGCCTAGTCTTAGGTATAGCAAAGAGGAACAAATCTGGGAGAAGACAATGATGGTTGTAATGCCAGGATAAGTCATTTGGATTTATTTGAAGGGGCTAGTCTCAACCCTATCAGTCCTCTTTTTGTAATGTCCTCTCTTTCTTTCTTTCTTTTTTTCTTTCTTTCGAGAGAGGATATTGGAGGGGGAAAGAGAGGAAGAGAAACATTGGTGAGGAAGGAAAACATTGGTGTGAAAGAGAGACAACACCAATCAGTTGCCTCTCATACACTCCCTCACTGGAGATCAAACCTGCAACCCAGCCATGTGCCCTGACTGGGAATTGAACCAGCAACCTTTGCAGGATGATGCCCAGCCAGCTGAGCCACACCAGTCAGGGCCCTCTCTACTATTCTTAAATGAGATCCATAGACACTATAGCCTAAATACACACACACCTTTAAAAAAATAAATCCATATAGTGCTTTAACTATAACACAAGGGAAAATAAAAATATGTATTTCAATATGCAATTGCTCATGGACAACTATACCAGAAGTCATAAAGCAGTTAGTCAGATGCTTGCAACTTTATACATAGCAAACTTGTATATGTTACAGCTACAAATACAGGCTCATACAAGTGTGTTGTGTTGGTGACTCAGATGCCATCAATGACATTGCAATCAATAATATGAGTTTTTGAAATGGTATCCTCAATCCCTAGCATAGTGTCCTCCAGTACTCAGTTAAATTTAGTGCTGGGTTTTGTTTGTTTGTTTGTTTGTTTGTTTTTTGAGATGAAAAAATCTGAAAGCAAAAGTGACCTGCTAAAGATTTTAAAGATAAGTGTCTGGGTTAGAGCAATCTTCAGAAACATTTAAGACTCTTAAACAATGATGAGCTTCGAGGTCTGAATTGTTTTTGCTTTTGGCTCATCTCCCACTCCTACCTCAGTGCTTATGTAGTAAGCACTCAATATATAATTTTGAATTGAATTGATTTGAATAAAATAATTTCTCCATCAGCCTGGCTGGTGTAGCTCAGTGGATTGAGTGCGGGCCTGTGAACCAAGGGATCATGGTTCAATTCCCAGTCAGGGCACATGCCTGGGTTGCAGGCCAGTTCCCAGCAGGGAATGCACGACAGGCAACCGTACATTGATGTTTCTCTCCCTCTCTCCTTTCCTTCCCTCCCCCCTCTAAAGGTGAATAAATAAAATCTTTTAAAAAAATAATAATTTCTCCATCAAAGTGACCACAGGGCCTTGGGTATAATATTATCTTCAGGCAGATTGCCAGAAAAGCAATATTTAGTAAAAGACACTCCTTTACCACAGGGCCCAAAGTCAGTCCTATCTTTATTTCACATGTGAAGGACTCTGGAATTTGAAATAGAATGTTCTAGGTCCAGCTCTGTTGCAAAGAAAGCTATATTCTATTACATCATCTCAAGATTCACTAACATGCCCACAGACTCACAATCACAGAAATCTTTAACAAAAATTCATTCTATATAGCTGGTACACACATCACTCCAAATTTTGGTTGGCTGTTTGAAGAATGTCTTCAGAACCTAGCATAATGCCTAGCACATAATAGCCACTTAAGACATATGTGTTGAATGGATAAATGACAGCAATTGAAGAGTCCCTAGGAAAGAAAAATGAAAAAGCAAATTCTAGCATGTGTTACATCAGAACCAGATCTGGGACTCAGTTTTCAGTTTGAAGAACCATCAGGCAAACTGACTCAAAAGCAAGTAAAAAGCCCTAGCTGGTGTAGCTCAGTGGATTGTGTTCCTGGGAACCAGCGAACCCTGGTTCAATTCCCAGTCGGGGCTCCTGCCTGGGTTGCAGGCCAGTTCCCAGCAGGGGATGAATGAGAGGCAACCATACATTGATGTTTCTCTCCCTTTCTCCTTCCCTTCCCCCCTAAAGATAAATAAATAAAATCTTTAAAATAAAAAAAGCAAGTACTCAGGCCACACATCTGAAACAACAAACAAAACAATAGTAAAGAATTTATGTCCATGGTTACAAAGTACTGCAAAACAGCTTAAAATGAAAGGTAACCACTTGTTGATTTTTTTCTTCTCCCTTCAGCTTCACTCCCACGGTGCCCAGGTAGATTCAAGTTTCCAAACATAAAACTTTTTTCAAAAGATCTTATGATATGATATCTATTTTCAGCTCTATGAAATTATTGCTCTTATTAAGAAGAATTATACATTGAGTTAATTTTCAAATGGTGGGGAGAGTTTCCAAGGAAACACGTCTGCCGTATCAGCCTCGGTGGCTGTGGCAGGTGTGCTTGTCATTACTCAGTACAGAGCCAAAGCTCTCTCCAATAACATAAAGACCACAGTATTTACTTACAAACAAACATTTATTGAGCACTAGGCGCAATCACTCTAAGCCTTCACTTTACACATGTGACCTCAATTTAATTGTCCCAACTTATGAAGTGTGTACTCTTATTGGCCCCATATTGCATATGAGAAAAATGAGCCTGAGAGGGTTTAAATAACTTACTCTGAGTCACACACACAGGAGACAGGAAACAGTGACGCTTGAATTCAACTACTTGATGAAACTCAAAATTAGCTCGGATACAACTCTGAATCCCACTTTTGTCAGTCTGCTGACAGAAGGTCTAGTGTTTCTTAACGTATACTACCATTGTCAGTTACAGAGTTTAAGAAAGAAAGACTGGTTATCCAGCTGGCATAAAATATCAAAAGAATGTCTGGGGAAATGATGATAACTCTTAAAAACAAAAAGAAGCTTTCCTGTACTGCCACAGTTAGCAGCCACTTCTCCTCGTGATTAAAAACAGTGTCTGGATTAGACACTTATCCTCGTGAGGTTCCACCATTTTGCCCAGTGAGAACCTTTCCTGATGGAGGACAAATGCTGACAATTAGAAACAAAGAGCAACTCCAAGCACTAAACAACCTCCAAGCACAGGAACAGTGGAGTATGTTAGTAGCTCATATGATGAGCAGTATTTAAAATATGATCCATAAGATCTGTGAGACATGGGCAGGTATTTATATGGCATCCCTGAAAACAGTGAAATAGAAAATTATAGCTCTGATGCATCTATATAAAAACTTCTTGTGAACAAAAATGTAAGAAGAAAAATTGTGGTTTCTGGTTTAGGGACTTTAATTAGGTATGATTTCCGTTCTCCCTCCCACACCTCATCCGCAAAATTTCTTTTGACTGAAAAAGAAACTTGAACAAAACCAGTAAAGCACTGTTATTCAAAAATTGGTTCTAGCCTCAATAGTAGGAGTGGGGAGAAACTGGAGAATAGCATTGGAATCGAGTTTATCGGGGGCCTCTAGAAAGTCCCTCTGCAATCCCCTCACCTTGTTAGAATATCTCAGAAATCAAGGTTTATTTTCTCTTGGCATTCTGGAAGTTTTGCTCTTGCATTAAAAAATAATTATGTGTGAGTGTTTTAATTATTATTACTGCATTTTGAAACCGAGTCACCTAATCAATTTTGGTTTAGGGAAAGTCCCTTTGATCTTCAAAATCTATCCGGTCCTTGAGACAAAGCCTGTCTCATTTTTCAAGGTCAGTAGCTTCCACTGAAACCCGCACTGAAATGTTAGGGTTCGAGGTCAGTAGGTTCCACTGAAACCCGTTGTTTGAGGCCACTCCAACACTTCAAGTTCAGTCTAAGATTCCAAAACCAACTGGAAACCTGCGCCTAACCTTCGCTGCGTGCCTCGGATCCCAGCGAACGCCCAGCTGCGCACACCTGTCAAACGCTGCGCGCGAGTGAGGCCTGACGCCCGGCCAGGAAGCCGAGTGGTCCGGTAGCGTCAGCCCCGCCTGCGCTGACTCAGCTCTTCCGGTGGAGTCAGCGGTGGTTCCCGACTGCCTGGGTGGTGCGGGCGGCGAGCGTCACAGCGCAGTAAAGCGCCCCGGCCGCCCCTCCTGGCAGGCCGAGCTCTGGCCTCGCGGTGACTCAGCCGCTTCCGCTCCCTACGGCCCGGCGGAGCTCCGGCCGCTGCCGCGACGCGCTTCCGTCAGCCCCGAAAGGGATTAACAGCTTCGTAAGGCCCCTGGACTCCAGTCCTTAAGCCCTACGAGGCCTTTCTCAGTAAATTGAGGAGTCGTGGCTTCAGTTCGCGGGAGGGGGGGGGGCGGGGGCGGCTAAGAGTCCTGGGGTAAGAGTCCTGGGGTAGCCTGGACTCTTAGAGCCCACGATTTGTGTTGGAAGCTCAGTACCTGCCACTTGCCAGATGTGTGACCCCCCTACCCCACAGAGTCACTTAATCTGGCCAAATCTCCCTCTGTCCATCGATGAAATGGGAGTAATTCCATACCCACCTCAGTGTTGTTGGCACAGCCTAGGAATCAAGGAACATGGCAAATCTCAGTTTTCATTATTATTTCTTCGGAAATGCATTTTAGGTGTAGTTCTTTCTTTCCATGCCACTGCAGCCATCGCATACAGTACTTCCTAACATCTCAGTTCAAGGTCACCGCAGTGATTTCCTAACTGGTTTAGCTGCATTCCCATCCAGCTTGTACACAATGACCTGGTACATTTTGACTGTTCACTATGTTCTTCAAGCCATTGTGCAGCTCAAGAAAATGTAACACCTCCCCATTGTCTTTTGGTTTGAGTTATTTTCTTGGTATTTACAGCGTAGTCTGGCTCATACAACGCCCCATCCCTCCCATAAATATTTTTTGCTTACTCTTCATCTTATATTGTGGTTCATAGATTTCTGCCCTGTGGGAACTGGGGGCAGGGTGGAGAGATGCCGGAGAGATTAACTCATAAGTACATAATTATAATACTGTGTAATATACTCTCTGATCTAAGTATGAACAGAAGAGGGAACAACTAAGCGAACAGAGGGGGAAGAAGAAAGGAGAGTGGGTGGCTTGACAGATGAGTAGTCTACCAGCATTCTGATAGTGTAGAGCTCAGTGTCCTGGTTGGTGTAAAACCTAGAGGTCATGTGTGCCCTGGACTGTTGCTGTTACAGAACACATGAAGCATCATCCCTTTCCCTGGATTTTCTTGGGTCCAGAGATACTGTGGAAGATAAAATTTGGGTTTAAAAATAACGTCACCTGGTGAAACACAGATTGTAGGAAAGAATACCGGATTTCTGAAGGGAAAGTCCCATAATGAGGAAGAAGTTCCCATCAGCCACAGGGCCTGAGTGTTACAGAAGATCGTGTTTGTGAGGATTCTATAAAGCTTCCTTTGAACCTACCCAGCTCATTCCTGGGAAGGAGAAGGCTGTGTACTAAAATGGAAACACTGACTCACCAGTACACTGAAAAGAGCTGAATTATTATGAATCCAGCACACCCTGCTGCAGGGTCTTTACTAAAAGGAGTTGTTCATGAGAAACAGACAGGCCTACTGACCAGAGAGAGGTGGGCAGTGGCGGTCTACAAGTTGTCAGGGACAGACTCAAGACAGCAGTAACAGGGAATGGGTGTTCCAAGGCTCCTCAGGGGTCAAGGACACTCTGCAGATGGCCTAGGTAGCATTGACATAGGTACCTGGAAAGAGGACAAGGTACCAAAGAAGTGGCAAAAGCAGCAGTTCAAACAGGGACTGTGATTACAGATGATTTCCATTTCTTTTTATGTTTCTGAATTAAATAGCTTTTCCATGGTGAACATATTTTATTTTTAATATCAGAAAAGGAAACACTTTTTTTAAAGTCATTACTCAGGGTTGGTGCGAATGAAGTAAAATGGGCTTCTTATTTACTCAAGTTTTATAAGAGAGGAGTCAGATTACTCCTCATATTCTTGACTCACTTGTGAAAATATTCATACCGATCACAAATATCGTTTTTTTTAAGATTATTTATTTATTTATTTATCTATAGAGGGGAAGGGAAGGAGAGAGGGAGAGAAATATTAATGTGTGGTTGCCTCTTGTGCGTCCCCTGCTGGGAACTGGCCTGCAACCCAGGCATGTGCCCTGGCTGGGAATTGAACCTCGATCTTTTGGTTCACAGGCCCGCACTCAATCCACTGAGCTACACCTGCCAGGGCCCAAATATTGTTTTTTTGATATAAGACAAAATTACGATTTAACTACTTTGGGAGGATGGGCAAGGAGAAATGGGATTGGGTATGTGGTGTATTTATAAGAGTGCTACACCTTCATCTACCATAACAGGAAGGCAGTAGAGCATGTTTAATGCAGATACATCAGGAAATAATAGCATAAACACTATTTTGACCTGTGAAGGCAAATATCCAAAGTGACATTGAAAAGTGCAAAATTGTCGTTTTGGGACTATGAAGAGGAATGAGGCAGAAGACTACTGTTTTTTACTATACATTTTTTTTTAGTAACATTGAAGTATGTTTCAATATTTTAATGAGTATTTTCAGTGAAATATTTTAAAACTTCATTTATTTATTTTTTAAAATATTTATTTATTTATATTTAGAGGGGAAGGAGAGAGGGAGAGAAACATCAATGTATGGTTGCCTCTCGTGCGTCCCCTGCTGGGAACTGGCTTGCAGGGAACTGGCTTGCAACCCAGGCATGTGCCCTGACTGGGAATTGAACCGCGATTCTCTGGTTCGCAGACCTGCGCTCAGTCCACTGAGCTATACCAGCCAGGGCAAAACTTCATTTATTTTTATATGGATAAAAATAAAAGAATAGAAATCTGTTGTCCCAGTAATTTCATCTTATTATATATTCTAAGGCGATAATTACAGATATGAGCAAAGATTTATGTATAGTAGTAATTGTGGGATTATTTATTTAGAAGCAAAAACTGACAACAATGTAAATGTCTAACAAAGCAATAATTTTTTAAAACTGGCACATCCACATGATGCTTTTTTAAAATCACGTTTAAAAATTTATATTATTTTTTTAATCCTCACCCAAGGACATTTTTGCATTGCTTTTTTTTTTAAAATTTATTTATTTATTTTCAGAGAGAGGGGAAGGGAAGGAGAAAGAGAGGGAGAGAAACATCAGTGTGTGGTTGCCTCTCATGTGTCCCCACTGGGAACTGGCCTGCAACCTAGGCATGTCCCCTGACTGGGAATCGAACCGCAATCGTATGGTTCACAGGCCCGAGCTCAATCCACTGAGCTATACCAGCCAGGGCTGCTTTTTTTTTTTTACAGAGAGAGAAGAAGGGAGAGAAGAAGGAAGAGAGAAAGAAACATTGATGCAAGAGAGAAGCATCAATCAATTGCTTACAGTAGGTGTCCAGACCAGGGATTATATGTGCCCTGACCAGGGATTGAACCCACAACCCAGGTATTTGCCTTGACCAGGAATCAAATCCACAACCTTTTGGTTATAGGACAATGCTCCAACCAACTAAGCCACACCCACCAAGTCTCAAATCACATTTCTGAGAATCATTTAATTTCATAATACAATGCTAACTTTAAAATGAATGAAAATAAACACGGATGTCAAAGTATGTATATTCATAGTAAACAGACTAGAAAGAAGTACTTTAGAATGGTTGTGGTGTTTTTATCTCTGGGAATTAGGATGATAGAGTCAAGAGTGTGCCAGTTGGGTTCTCTAGGAAGCAAATGCTGAATTGCAGTTAGAAATAAAAAAATGTTGGGGAGTTACATCTATGAAAAGAAAGGGGAGGGAGCAGGATTGGGCAGATGGAATGTCAGACGTAACACAAAATCTGCCATCACAACGGGGAGTTCTGGTATGAAGATTGTGTGTTGGAGATGTAAGGGTAAAAATATCCACACCATTGTACCACCTTTCACAGTCATTGCCCTATACAAAGTCCACTCTGAGAAAGGAGCGATGGCTGAAAAGCTGGGGATGACCGAGAGGTTAACCTTGGAAGGTGGTCAGCTGACCATACTCTCTGCGGCAGCACAGCGCTCTCCTGAGGGCATCTGATCACTGCATCTCTCCATCTGCAACAAAAGATAATTTTTTAAATATTTATTGTGTGTATTTTTGTACTCTCCTTATTTTACCCCAAATGTGCCATATTTTATAATAAAACTTTAAAATAATAAGTACCCTCCAAATAAAAATCCAGAAGGGATCTCCTAAAGTGAAGTACATATGCTTTAGAGCACTGATTTTTTTGGTCAGCTATTTTATCTGTTCGAGTCATTGCTGTCCTTTTTTTTGGCTTGCAGGCTATGTTCCAAATAGATGAGGTTGCCAGAGCTGACTTCCGGTACCTCATCTGTGGAATGAGGAAATCTTATCCTACCATAATTGTGAAAATTATAGTATTCCTTTTGATTGGTTGATTCTTTCATTTACTCAATAAATTGTTTTATATCTACCTTTTAAATATGGTACAAGGCACCTTGCTAGATGTAGAAATTAATAAGATGTTGATCATACATTTATTTTTTTAATTTTTTTATTTATTGATTTGAGAGAGAGGGAGAGAAACACCAATTTGTTATTCCACTTATTTATGTATTCATTGAATGTGCCCTGACCTGAGATCCAACCTGAAATCACGGCATATCAACACGATGTTCTAACCAATTGAGCTATCTGGCCAGGGTGATCACACATTTATAAAGTTCACAGTTTAGTAGATGAAATGTCATGTACTTAATAACATGTTTAAAATGCACCTACCCTTAGAGTTTCAGTTTTACAAGATGAAAAGAGTTCTGGAGATTGGTTGCCCAACAACAAATGCATTTAACACTACTGAACTATATACTATAAAATTGTTAGGATGGTAAGCTTTGTTATTCGTACTTAACCACAACTTTAAAAATCTTTAAAGGTACATACACTATAACTTAGCCATGCACTTCTGGCTATGTATCCCAAAGAAATGCCCACCCATGTGTACTAAGAAACAAGTGTGAGGATGTCCTCCACAGCATTGTTTATAACAGCAAAAAGGTGGTAGCAGCCCAAATTTTTATCCAACAGGAATGTATAAATAAAATGCAATATATTTACCTGGCTGGTGTAGCTCAGTGGATTGAGCGTAAGCTGTGAGCCAAAGGGTCGCAGTTTGATTCCCAGTCAGGGCACATGCCTGGGCTGTGGGCCCAGTCTCCAGTGGAGGTCATGTGAGAGGCAACCACACACTGATGTTTCTTTCCCTCTCTTGCTTCTTCCCTTCCCCTCTCTCTAAAAATAAAAAAATAAGAAATAAAAAATATACGATAAATAAAATAAAAGGAGTAGTCACTATTAGCCTACGTCATTATTAAAAAAACACAATATATTTATATATCAACCTGAATTGGTCTCAGAAACTATTTTGGGTGATAAAAGCAAGTTGCAAAATGATACATACATCATGATACCATAATGTAAATTTAAGAACACAGAACATCACAATCTATTGGTGATAGATACATATATGTATGCAAATAAAATTATAAGGAATGGAATGGAAGCACGTACACCAAACTCATGGTGGTAGTTGCCATTGAACATTGAGAGGGGAAATGGACTGAGTGGGACAGTGTGTGGTTAAAGGAGACTTACTTAATTTATCTGTAATATTTCACTTCTTTTAATAATACGGAAGCAGCTCTGGCTTGTGTGGCTCAGTGGGTTGAGCACTGGCCTGCGAACCAAAAGGTTGCAGGTTCGATTCCCAGTTGGGGCTCTTGCCTGGGTTGCAGGCCAGGTCCCCCACTGGGGGCAGGTGAGAGGCAACTAATCAATATATCTCTCACACATTGCTGTTTCTCTCCCTCTCTTTCTCCCTCACTCCTCTCTATAAGTAAATAAAATTTAAAAAATGGAAGCAAATTTGAAACTATTAATATTGCTAGTTTTGGGTAGTAGGAATACTCACATGTGTGATTTTTATTTCATTTATTGTACTGTTTTGTATTTTAAATTTTGATATTTCAAAAACAAACGATGATGCACATGTAAAGAGATATAGGTAAAGATCTATGGGAGTTCAGAATGGAGAGACATTATCAAAGGCAGGGTGGGAGAGAGAAGGGGGTCAGGAAAACATCTGAACTGAGCCTTCAAGGATGGAGAAGATGAAGAGAGATGAGAGGGGAAATGTGAAGTGGTGTTCCAGGTGGAGTATGCAGCGTGAAAGAGGCACGGAGACAGGAAAGCAAGGGCCTCTTGATTAGTGTAGCCTAGCTGGACCAGGAGATGCCTGATGACAAAGAGCAGAAAGCAAGGTATGAAAGGTGGTTGCAATCTCATCCAAAGGGAGGACCTTCTATGAGAAAACAAAGAACTTCAGTCTGTTCTGTAGATAGTGGCTTGTCATTAAAGGTTTTGGAACTGGGATGACAGGGTCAGAACAGGAATATTAATGTGGTCATAAAATATAAAATGCTTTGAAATGAAGAGCACTGGCGGTAGAGAAAGAAGCTAGAAGGAAATGATTGTAGAAGTCCGTAGGAGAGGTGACTACAGGTCCTCCCCTGTCCCTGTGTGTCTCTGTGTGTGTCTGTGTGTGTGTTAACAGTTTTACTGATCCTGGGGCCCTGTTGACACACAGAATCAATAATCTCTAAAATAGTGTTTCTGCCTCAGGGCTGATGTGTTCCATCCATTTTCATGTTCCTGCACATGGCCGAAGATTATAACAAGCTCTGCTCAGTTACAGCAGCTCACTGTACCAGGAACAACTGGTCAGTGTGCATTTTCAAAGAGGATCCAAGTGATTTTCTGATCAATCGTAACTTTCATTCTGTACAAACACTGTCCAAAAATGTTTCAAAAGCTCCCATTGCCAGGCTCTATTCAAAGGTTCTGTTCTCTAAGAATAGAATAGAGGCCACATACTTCAGCACACACCCCACCCCAGGTCTGGTACAGCAAACTTCTCCAGCTTCACTGCTCCCCCTGCGTGGATTCTCTACCCCTGCCACGTTGATGTGCTCTGTTATCCCATAAACGTAGCCATGATTTTTGTCCTCTCTCCCTCTCTCTTTTTTTCTGAGATTCTCTTCCTTCCAATCTCTGCTTATCAAAAATTCTGTTCATTCTAAGGCCCATATTCCACTTCTTCCATGAAACTTTGTTTGATCACCTCAGAAGAAATGAGCTTCTTCCTGTTATCGATGTTTCTAACAAACACATGAAAGTTCACACTGCCCCCTGCCCCTCTCTCTCTAACATTGTGTTTCTTCCTTAGATTTTGACTGTCTGGAGATAGTGACTAAGGTGTGGGTGTTTTTTGCTTTCTGTTTGTTTTAATTCCTTTAGAATACAAAAGCCCAAAGTTCTTTTAGGTCAAGGTGTTTTATAACTAAAATAACTACTATTTTTTTGAATGCCTTTTATTGCCAGGGGTATTTACTTATTTGTTTGTTTGTTTGTTTGTTTGTTTATAGAGAGTGAGAAAGGGAGAAAGAGAGGGAGGGGAACACCGATGTATGAAAGAAACATGCATCGGTTGCCTCTCACATGCACCCCCATCAGGGATGTTGCCCATAACCCAGGAAGGTGACCTGACTGGGAATTGAACCAGTGACCTTTCAGTTTGTGGGATCTGTGTGGGACCACTGAACCACACAGATCAGGAAGAACATGTGTAATGTTATTCTCATTTTACAAGAGAAGAGACAGAGGCTCAGAAATATAAATTAACATGCCCAGTAAATATATACAGCTAGCAAGGAAAAGATTTAAGATTTGAACAGGGCTTTGATGGGCTATGAAGCTTGTGTTGTTTTCATTGCATTATGCTGCTGTTCTTATGTAATGGTTGAATGGATGAAAGAATACATTTTTGGGCCCGTTTTCTTCAACTTGCTTTTCTGTGGTATATTTCCTCCTTCAAGGTTTACCCAGCTGGTAAAGCAGAAGGAAATACCAGTCAGTCTTTCTTCGCTCGTTGTAATACTTTTAAGTAATTGGAATCTAACTCATGCTGACTTACACAGTAAAAGTAAATGTGTTGGTTCATAAACCACAGAGTCTATTGTTGGATTGCTGGCTTTAGAATTGGATCAATGATGTGACAAATTTGCCTCTTTCTTTCAGTTTTGCTTCCTCTGAGTTGACTTCATTCCCAGGCAGCCTCTCCCTATGTGGTAACGAAGATGGCCAACAGCAGCTCCACGTTACATTCTACCAAATTATTAACCGCAGCAGAGAGTGCTTCTCTTCTGAGAGCTCCAGTCACATTCCCAGGTAAGACTGTTACTGACCCAGCTTGGGTCACATGCACATCCCAGGAACAATCACTGTGTTGCTCTGATTGGCCAGGGCTAAACCTGGGGTTTGGGTCAACCCTACCAGAACTCTGTGGATTGAGAGTGGGAAAGGAAAAATTATAGTACCAAGGGGTTAATATCCCAAATTTATAGTTGAACTTATAAAATTCAACACCAAAAAAAGAAAAAAGAAATGAAAAAAAAACACAATCCAATTTAAAAAATGGGCAAAGGACCTGAATGGACACTTCTCCAAAGAGGACTTACAGATGGCCCATAGACATATGAAAAGATGCTTGACATCACTAATCATAGGATATATGCAAATTAAAACCATAATGAGATATCACCTCACAGTTGCTAGAATGGCTATTATTAATAAATCAACCAACAAGTCCTGGTAGGATGTGGAGAAAGGAGAACCCATTTGCACTGTTTGTGAGATTGCAGATTGCTGCAGCCACTGTGGAAAGCACTGTGGCATTACCTCAAAAAATTAAAAATGAAACTGCCTTATGACTCAGCTATTCCACTTCTGGGAATTTATCTGAAAAAACCCAAAACGCTAATCTGAAAGAATATATGCATCCCTATGTTTATTATAGTATTATTTACAGTCATCAAGATTTGGAAGCAGCTCAAGTATCTATCAGTAGATGAATGGATAAACCAGCTATGGTACATTTACACAATGGAATACTACGCAGCCATAAAACAGAAGAAAACTTGACTCTTTGCAACTGCATGAATGGACCTGGAGAACATTATGCTAAGTGAAATAAGCCAGCCAGAGAAAGACAAATACCATATGATTTCACTCATATGTGGAATCTGTTGAACAAACTGAACTAACAAGGAAAATGGGGATAGACTCATAGACAGAGAGCAGGCTGACAGCTGTGGGATGGGGGTTGTGGGGGTTGTGGAGGGATCAAGCAAAAAAGAAAAAGAACTCATGGACATAGACGACAATGTGGAGATTGTGGGGGGAGGGCAGGGAGGTGGAAGAAGGTATAGGGGAGATAAATGGTAATGGAAAAATATAATAAAACGAACTATTAAAAAATAAAATAAAATTAGATTTCTAAAAAAAACTGTATGTTCTGGCTGGTGTGGCTCAGTGGATTGAGTACTGACCTGTGAACCCAAAGGTCACTGGTTCGATTTCCAGTCAGGGCACATGCCTGGGTTATGGCTGGGTCCCCATTGGGGGGTGTGCAAGAGGCAACCAATCAGTGTATCTCTCCCACATGGATGTTTCTCTCCCTCTCTTTCTTCCCTTCTCTCCTAAAATAAGTAAATAAACAATCTTTTAAAAAAATTGTAGTATCATACCAGAAGAAATATTGGGTAAGGCAAAATGGATGTTCATTATACACACATTCGTTGAGCTAGGACTCAAAATTCTCTGACCCAGGTTGACTGTGCTTGAGCAGAGACTGCAGGTGACTCCATGATCTGTCCTCAACAGGCTCACTACACAGGGCTGTGCTTTTCCTGGTTTGGTCACAGCGATTGTACTGTTCTTCAGAGCAGTTATATAATAAAACATTCTACTCACGGGAAATGGTTTATGCCTGGCTTGAGGCCTGTGGTGGCCTAGCACCAACTAAGAGGAAGAGACTGGGATCTGATAGCACAAGACGACACAGTGTCAGTGGTAGTTGCATATCTTCCATTGGTAGGACACAGTGACAAATAGTGAGAATCAGCATAGGCAAACAGTTAGTGACAAACAGAAAATGGCATATATTAATGGGTGAGACCAGAGAATTCTGAAATAGGAGATACTCAAGATTTCAGACGAATAGGTAATAGGACTAAAGTTCAGAGACATTCCAGTCACAGAGAGTGGGGAACTGAAAGGAGCAGGCATGCCCCCATTGCTGGGGGATCAGGACACTGGGCAGGGTACCAAGACTGGGCTGAAGTACCAAGGCACTAGGCTGAAGTCCATGGATGGGGTCTACAGTCCAAGGCAGGGCTGAGTCTCAAGAATGAGACTACAGATCAGTTAGTAATCTGATAGAATGGGAACGTAAGTTCAGACCAACATCAGCCTTGACAGGAAATCCTAGAGTGAGGGACTGAAGTGTCATAAATCCTCCTCTCTCTGTGTAAGATTCCTCCTCCCTCATGACTGAGCCTACAGGTACTACTGAATGGCTTCAGATAAGGGGAAGACGGGAGACAGAGGTTGGTCCCATGACAGGGTCTAACAAACTAAAAAATATAAGAGGCATGTGTTTGTTCATTGGAATGCCTAACCTAATAAAAAAGTAAATAGAAATATTTCTGCTGCACTGTATTAGGAAACAAAGAGAGCTGAGAAAGAAATATTTGCAATGGTAACAGGAATTGTTATTTTATTTTTTAACATTTTATTTATTTATTTTTAAAGAGAAGGGAAAGAGGGGGAGAGAAACATGGATGTGAGAGAGAAACATGGTTCCATTGCCTCTTGCACATGCCTTGACTGAGTACTGAATCTGAAACCCAGGCATGCGCTCTGACTGGAAATAAACCCGGTGACCTTTCACTTTGTGGAATGATGTCTTATTATATTTTGACATATTCCTTTCCAGATATGACCACCTATTGAGTATTTGCCCAAGCTGCAGTCACTAGCACACATTTATGTCCTTACAGCACACCAGTTCAATAAACTGCATGACCAAGAAGAACAAAAGTTTGTGCCCTGGCTGGTGTAGCTCAGTGGGTTGAGCACGAGCCTGTGAAGCAAAAGGTTGCCGGTTCAATTCCCAGTCAGGGCACATGCCTGGGTTGCAGGCAAGGTCCCCACTAGGGGACACATGAGAGGCAACCTCACATTCATGTTTCTCTCCCACTCTTTCTCCTTCCCTTCCCCTCTCTCTAAAAATAAATAAATAAATATTTTTAAAAAACAACAACAACAAAAGATAGGAAAAAAAGTTGGGGGTGCTTCCAATTATTGCATAATAATTGCAGTCAGAGATCCTCTGGACTTCGATAATACAGCCTTTGGGGGCACAGAGCTACTCTGGTGTGGCCTCTCTTCCTCCTTCTCCCCTCCCCACCCTTACTTCCTGATCCTTCAGCAACAACAGGAACTCAAGAGGCCCAGTAGAGCTAAGCCACAGCAGCTTCTGATCTATATTACATTTACTCTGAGGCTGCTTCTAGGTTAGAAATACCAGGTGATCCATTTGGCAGACATCACAGAAGCCGCCAGAGAGTTACGTCAAGCCCCTAAAAATCACAGAGAAAACCAATGTCAAGGGGATGTGGAAGTGTGCTGGTGATTCTGCTGTTAAGACAGGAATGAGGAGATGTTTACAGTCAATCAGCAAGGTGATGACATTCCACCTGCTTTAGTGCCAACTTTTAAAAAATCAATTTATTGTATTTTTATCGCATTTTCCATTATCATTTATGCCTCTTATACCCTCATCCACCTCCACCCCTTAGTGCAAACTCTTGTGTCTCAATCCTTATGATCTCAAGCCTACTGACAGGAGCACACCTGAGTCCAGCCCCAGAGAAACCAAGCTTTTTGGAGAAGTCTTTGTACATCCTCATCTAGGCTGAGATGGAGATGATTTAGAATGGTCCTTGAGATGCTACCCCTTAAAACTAAGTTTAGTATTGTGGAAGCTTGTTGTGCCCATTGGTGCATATCAGATCGGGATAATAACACCTGTCTGCCGCTCCAGAGAGATGATGAAGTAATTGATTGATTTCTTTTTGGTTGCTTGTTTTTGAAATCATAGAAAAAAAAATAGACTTGAGAACCTTTTTAAAAGAAAGAATTGTCCTTTCTAGGCAATTCTTGGAGAGTTTTAGAAAGAGCCTTTTTTTTTGGAAAACATTCTGGGGTTTAACAACTTCTACCATCGGAAATTCTGAAGTCATTCAATTACATATAACAGAAACTCAACTCAAACAACTGAGAAATTCTACTAGGTGCAAGTCGCTTGAGTAGAGAAGGTGCATGCTTGGAAGTAATGGAGTGCCCTGTTTGGCCATATGCATGATGAAACACTGAAAGCTAGTCTTCAAAGACAGAGGACACAAAAACAGCTATGCAGAGAGAAATAGAGATGAGCGAAGGAAGGTAAGAGGACTATCAGGATCCTGATTCCTGATGATTTTCCAAATCCTGTTCCTTTCCCATTGTATCCTGGCTACCTCGGGGCTTTGCTGCAACACATTCTCTTTATACTAGCTTGAAGTGAATTTCTCTAGCTTGTAACCCAAAGAATCATGACTACTGTGGACTGATTGTTTGTGTCCCCACCCCCCTAAAATTCATATGTTGAAGTCCTAGTCCCCAATGTGAGGTATTTGTGAGATATTTATATATGAGGTTATGAGGGTAGACCTTCCATGATGCCATTAGTGCCTTTCAAAGAAGAGGAAGAGATACCAGAACTCTCTTCCTCTGCTGACAGAGGATACAGCAAGAAGGCAGCTATCTACAAGGCAGGAAGAGAGTTCTCACCAGGAACTGAATCAGCAGGCGCCTTGATCTTGAACTTCCCAGCCTCCCAAACTGTGGGAAACAAATATCTGTTGCTTAAGCCACTCAGTCTGTGGGTATTTTGTTACAGCAACCACAGCTGACTGAGATAATTAAGAAAATGAATGATAGCCTTTGCTGGGTACTTTCTGCAAGATGTTTTCTTTGCATTCTTGAATCTCTGTGATCTCCCCTCCAATGGGTTCTCCTTTACTTCTCTGACAGTTCTTTTTCAGTATCCTCCACTGTTTTCTCCATTTGCCACATACAAGTGATATCTGAGATTCTGTTCTTGGCCATCTCCTCATCTGTCTCTACCCTCTTTGTCGACTAACTCTACTATTACAATTTTCTTTCTCATAAGCTGATGACTTCCTCATTTATTATTTATAGCCAAAACGTCTGCTGAGTTTTAGGTCCTAAGTTATAGTCTACTGAAGAATGTCCTCCCCAAATAATCTGCAAAAACTATGAAATGTCCCACACTGGATTTTTGCTTTCCCTAATCTAGTCTCAAATTTTCTAACCTCAACTACCAATGCATCCCTGAAACTATCTTGCAGGCCATACTCTTTGTGGTCACTACTGGTCTTGGAAACTTCCATTCCCGATTCTCTTCTCCTCTGTCCTAGGCTCCCTTTCTTGGTATCCTGTTCCTATGTCAGCTTTGCTCCCATTCTCAGTTTCTTATTTAAATCCTGTCTTGTTCCAATATTCATTCTCCTTTAAAAAAATTGATTTGAGAGAGAGAGAGGTGTCATTTTTTTTGTTCCACTTATTTATGGATTCATTGGTTGATTCTTGTACGTGCCCTGATTGGGGATTGAACCCACAACCTTGGTGTATTGGATGATGCTTTAACCAACTGTTGCTCCTACCCAGTCAGGGCCTCATCCTCTGTCTTTCAGCCTTGATGAATATCTCTTTTCTAGGATATATCTTCCATCTTTTAAAAAAAGATTTTATTTATTTATTTTTAGAAGGGAAAGGGAGGAAGGAAGAGAGGAAGAGAAACATCAATGTGTAGTTGCCTTTTGCAACTACACCCCCTACTGGGGACCTGGCCCACAACCCAGGCATGTACCCTAGACTGGGAATCCAGCCAGCGACCCTTTGGTTCCCAGGCCTGTGGTCAATCCACTGAGCCATACCAGCAAGGGCTGTCTTCCATCTTTATACCTCCATGATTCGCTTATGGTTTCCCTTTCCCTGGAATGCTATTTCCCCATCTTTGTCTTATCTAAATCCTGTACACTTTTCCAAATCCAACTCAAATGTTAATTCCTCCATGCAGCCTTCTGTCAGGACTAAGCATTCATTACTTTGGGTTTCCACAGAGTCACTAGAACAAATACTACAAACTCAGTTGAGTTATTGCTCATTACGTGTTTTCCTTTATCTCCTGGGAGAGTGTAATTATTCTTAAGGAAAGTGCCTTTCATAACAAACAGTATATGACATGCTTCG